TAGTTGAGTGGTGAGAGAGAGGAGAGTGTGCTTGGGACAGGTCCTGGGGTCAGGGTGGAAGACCTCTGTAGAGCCTCAGTAGGAAACCCTACAATGGTAGTAGGAGCCTCCTTAGCTTTGAAATTGGTGTCATTTTCATCAGTGGTCTTGTATGTTCATTTATTCACCACGTATTTATCAAGTACGCACTGTGCCAGGTAAACATGTGGTCATGTGCTGGCATTATGAAGTCTTTTAATTAGGATAGTTTTCCTGAAATGAACAATTTTCATCTTCATTTTTATTTTCTTTCTTTCTTTTCTTTTTTTTTTTTTTTATGGGGGGAGGTTTTTGCTGTACGGCACGTGCACTCACCAGACAGACAGAGAGGGATAGACAGAAAGCGAGAAATCACCCCCAGGGTGGATGGCCACGTCGCAATCCCTTCTCCTCCATTCTCCTCTCAGGATCTTGGGCACGCACGCACACGTACCTGGCGTGAGTTTAAGCCACTGGGTCCAGGACTTGAATCACCACCGACTACATGGGACTCCAGCAACATAGCCATTATGCTAACTGCTCGCCCTGCATTTTTATTTTTTATTTAAAAATTTTAATCTTTTTTTTTTTACTCATGATAAAGTGAATGTGTGTATATTTGACAGAGACAGAGGTGCACCCCCACACACACACACACACACATACACACACACACACACACACACACACACACACAAGATCTGCTCATGCTGTGATCTTCTTCCTTCAGTCTTCTATGATCTTCTTCCTTCAGTCTTCTAGCCTATTGGATCTTGGGCACCCATGTGATTGCCCAGTGTGTTTTAGACCAGCCAGCCTGGGAATTCTAACCACAGCGGCCATGTGGGATCAGGCTTCTCTTTGAGCAGTACATTACTGTTTTACCACAGAGCCAGCCCGGTATTCTTTTCTAGAATTCTATGGTTCTGATGATAGAAGAAAAAAACGATAGCACAGTTATTAAACACGTTTAACCCCAGTAACATGTATAAAAATTCCAAGTTCTAGGCTATATCTTGTATCTAAAATTCTTTCTCATCCATATATTTCTGCTCAATTTTCTTAAACATGGAAACATTACCTGGCCTTGGTAAGGCAGAAGTGATGTAGAGAGCTTCTCCCCATCATGCAGGCTGGAAGTTAGTGGACATCAAGAATGTTCAAAAATTAGTACCAGGAACAGGGGTCATGAAAGGACAGAAACTGAAAGGTTCTATTCTGTATTTAAAGATAAACATGACCTAATAATTTTAAGTTGGAAAGTTTACAGGAGCTAAAACTCCTCTCTTGGCTCATAACTTATTCCTCCTCCGCCAAATTATATGGTAGCTTATTTCACATTTCAATTTCTAAATAAATTAGTCTTCATTATTCTTGGATTCCTGACAGACATTCCGTCTAAGAATTAATGTTTCACATTCTGCCACTTCAATCACGTTAAACAAATTACTGAGTGTCATTGTCACTGAATTAATTAGAAGGATTTGTGTAATGAATTTACCACATCTATGTGAACATTTTTTTAATTGGGGCTCTTTATTTTTTTAAATTAATAATTACAACTCTACATTGGTATGGTTTGTGCTTTTAGAATTACCTACCTTGGGGACTTGTCATGAGGATTAATCTTCAAAAGCAGTTAAAACTGGGCCTACATATAGCTGGATACCAGTATCCCATTTTATCCCAGTCAGAACTCAAATTCTCAGAGGTTTGATTGTCAGAAAACAACTGGCAGTGGGTGAGAACCAAATCCTCATATTCTTAGTCCTGTTTTCCTAACGGTCCTCAGAACTGACGTTTTGGGGTGAAACCCGTAATACTCAGAAAAAAACAAAGAGTTGTGTGGAATGAATCCCCAGAGAAACCTTGGTAGACCTCCGCTTCCTGAAACATCATCTCATAACTAGAACCGGCCTCGTTGTAGGGAAGAGCTCAGCCTCACTGGCTTGCTGTGAGATACTAAGGCAGTTTCTTTGTTTAATGTCATCCTCTTCCTTGGAGCTATGCTGTGGTGACTATTTCACTTGGTTTTGTTCAGACTTATATATCGATTGAAGAAATATGGAAATTAACTTAAAATTAACTTTTAAGACTTATTTTATTCCATTTATTTATTACTATTATTTAATTTTGCTGTAGGGCACATGAACTCACCAGAAAGAGACAGAAAGTAAGCTGCCAGATCCAGGACTCAAACCATGTGGGAGTCCAACTCTCTTACCATGCCAGCACCAGTTCGGTAGTTTTTAAAAACTTCCATGTGTGTTAACTTCTATCTGCTTTAGTAGCTTTATCTTTCCCCCTTTTTAATTAAAGTTTTCTTGCAATGAGCATTTCAGTTTTTTGTTTGTTTGTTTTTGCTAGAGGATGTATGTACTCATCAGAGAAAGATAGACAGAGAGGGAGGGAAAGGAGAAGGCACTTCCCATGGTTAATGGTCACACTGTAATTCTTTGGTTTGAGTTTTTTTTTTTAAGAGATTTTTGCCTTAGGGTATGTGCACTCACCAGGGAGAGAGAGAGAGACAGAGACAGTGAGAGGAAAAGTGAGAAATCATCCCCCAGGGGGGATGACCACATCTCAATCCCTTCTCCACTATTCTTCTCTAGGGATCTTGGTTACAAACATACATGCACCCAGCGTGATTTTCAAGCCACCGGGTCCAAGACTTGAACCATGGTCAGCCATGCGGGAGTTCAGTGTTGTAAACACAACCATCTGCTGACCCCACACTGCAGCTCTTATTCCCCCGCTTTTTGGTCCTTTTACTATTTTAGACACACATGGCGTGTTTCTCAAGCCATGTGGGATCTGGCTGCCTTAACCACTAGGCTATGTAACTTGCCCTTATTATTCAGCTATGTAGTTTGTTCTTCCAGTTTGTAATTTGTTGGCTAAATAAATCTGTTGTATAAATAGATTTGCTTGTGTTGTCTGACTACACTTTGTTTCCTAAGACCTATATCTCTCTTTTAAAAATTTTTTTATCTTTGGGTTCTGATCTTACTGAACTTCTGTTAAAACCTTTTAAAATTGTTATTTCTGAGAGTAAATGAGGTAAAAACAGGGAGGTATTTCTGACAGATGTTGCCCTTATTGCAAACTTCTGGTCCCAGCCTCCTAATTAGTTAGGATTACAGGTGTGTGCAACCCCGCCCAGTGTATTCAGGTTGATCTGGAAACTGAATCTCGGTCTCCCATGTGGACTCCCCCGTGATGGTTCTTTAGTGCACCACCATGAATGGGCCTGTTTTTATTTTCAATAGTTCAGAATACTATAAAGTAATTTCTTTCTGTTTCATGGACCAGTCCTCTGATTTACTGTTGAGCCTGGGAGGCTGTACTGTCTGGCATGTTTATACTAAGAAGTTAGTTGTCATTATTCTGAAATTCATATTTACCTGGGTTTCTGTTTTATTTAATTTTTCCCCCTTAAATTTGGCAACCCTATTCTATCAAAACTACCTTTTTTTAAAAAAACAAAGTTTATTTATTTAATCCATGAGCATGAGAGCCAAAGAATGAAAGAACAGAGACAAAGCACCCTCAACAAGATTTTTGATTTTTCAGCATCCTGATCCACCCTGCCTCAGCCAGTCCTGGGTCATGGGCAGGTGTGTACCTGGCAGACTTAGAAAGATTCTAGATGCGAACTCAGGACCTTCTCATGTGAGTCAGCCTGGCAGGGCCTGGTGTTTCACTTCTGCACCACCAGCTGGCCTCTCACTACCATCTTACAGAAATATTTTCGGGGTCTATTGGATACCACTTCCTTGGTGTTTGTCTGATGTTACTGACAGCCTCATTTAGTGGATTCTTTGCTATGCTTTCCTTAGCCAGTCCTGTAACATGTCTTGACTCCTAAGTTAGATAGTGAATACTTGTAGATGGTAGAACATCGTAAACATCATTGATATTTTTCTTCAATTATTTAGCACTCAGCCAAAGATCAGTAAGAAAGCACGTACAGTAAGTGACCAAAGTAAATGGCACAAACTGCGTGCATGAAATGCTCATGTTCCTTCTTTCTTCATTTCCTATATATCTTTATTCATAGATGTTTATATCAGACTTTTGCTTGAAATCTTTTTTTTTTTTAATAAGATATGTACAGTTGCCAGAGAGAGACAGAGAGAGAGAGAGTGGGGAAGTGAGAAATCATCCACCCACTGGGGAGGGAATGGCCACGCTGCAACCCCTTCTCTGTTCTCTTCTTGGGATCCTGGGCATGCATCCACATGATTTTCAAAGCTCTGGGTCTGGCACTCGAACCGTGCAATCAGATGTGTGAATTCCAGTGCCTTAACCTCCACGCTACCTGGTGGCCCCAAATCTTTAAACTCTTACTGGTATTTTTATACTAACTAGCTTAACAGATTGTGGCAGAATAAAAGCAGTAGGTTAAAGTAATTACTTGACAAGTGCATATCACAGCGGGACAGAGGGAGGGGACAGAACGTAAAAACTGATGCCTGACTCTATGTATTTTGGGGATTACTGGATGCAGGGAAAACAGCTCTGGTCACTTATAGTCTTTGAAGGCACCACTGTGGCAGCATTCCATACCACAAAACAATCAAATCATTCACTAAAATGCCTAAACTGATTGCTCATTTTTATTTGCAGGCTCAGGCTGCATGAAGAAAAGGTTATTAAAGACAGACGACATCATCTCAAAACCTACCCAAACTGTTTTGTGGCAAAAGAACTGATTGACTGGCTGATTGAACACAAAGAGGCTTCCGACAGAGAGACGGCAATTAAACTCATGCAGAAATTAGCAGACCGGGGCATTATCCATCACGGTGAGTGGGGTGGCTATAGTCAAGGTGACTGGCAATGAAATGAAGGACTAAATCTTTTCATAAACCTACTCATTTAAGAAAAAAATTTCTTTCTATTGACTCCTGTGTGTGTCTCTCCCTAATCACATTCTCTTTCTCCCTCCAAAAGACATTTGGGTTATATCCATGCACTTCCATACTTTTCCTTTCTGTGTATGCATCTCTAAGCACTATATCATATTATTTTGAATGTTTTAAGCCACTGTAAAGATGAATGTTTATTCTTTTGTAACTTGGTCAATAACATACTGTTTGTGAGATTCATCCATGTTGATTGTATATTGTGTGTTCCTTTTCGCTGCTAGGTAGTATGCCACCTGTAGTTATTCTATTATCCATTTCCCTACTGACTGACATCTAGGTTGTTTCCAAGTTTTTGCTCTTGCTGTCAGTGGTTCAGTGAACATTCACGAACATGTCTCCTTAAGATTTCTTACCCTGGCCTAGATTTTGCCCATATTGTTCTCTTGGTCTGGAATATCCCTTTTCCTTCATTTTTGTCCAATTTCTACTCATACTTCAGGTCTCTCCTTACATGCAAACTCTTCAGAGAAGCTTCCATTTCCCAAAGCTGGGTTTCTGGTCTTCAGGAAGCTCCTTTGTGCTTCCTCTGCAGTCTCTCGTCACTTCCTTATAGCCTGATCACCTCATATTGCATGCCGACATTTCTCTTTATCTCACTAGATTTCGTACTCTTTGAGGCTGATGCCTGCTCCAGTTTCATGCTCCAGAAGAGTTTGTGGAATGGATGACGAATTGAATTTTGTGAGCCTCTTAAAAGATGATGATGATAGTGCGGGTGCTGGTGGTAGTGGTGGTGAGAGTAGCTAATAATATCGAGCGCTTATTCTGTACCAGATACTCTGTTACATACACTACACCTATTAACTCTTAGAGTAGACTCTTGTGTGTTCGAAGAATTAGGTAGTGAAATGATTCTTGGCATTTTATATCACATGAATAGTTAAATAAGTGATTTCTTTCTCATTTGTTTCTGCATGTATTGTGTTTCAGTGTGTGATGAGCATAAGGAATTCAAGGATGTCAAACTTTTCTACCGCTTTAGAAAGGATGACGGCACCTTCCCACTGGACAATGAAGTGAAGGCCTTCATGAGAGGACAGAGGCTGTATGAGAAGTATGTCCTATCTGAAACTCCCCACTACATTTTTTTAAGAGTTTTTGTTTGTTCGTTTGTCGTTTTTGTTGTTGTTGTTGTTGTTGTTGTTGTTTTTGCCGTAGGGTACATGTGCTTGCTGGTAAAAACAGATAACTCTTCCTTTTAATACAAGAAAACCTTATCACCATTTGCTTTTCCTTTGCAAGGCACATGTGTGTGCATGTCCCAAATCCTAATAGGATGAGAAATGGAGGAGAAAGGACTGTGGTGTGACCATGGATACTTTCTCCCTCTCTTTTTCTTTTTTTTTTTCCCCTCTGGCAGAGGTATGTACCTTCTGACAATTAAAAATATACAGAGGGGCACTTAGGATAATGATAAAAAATTTAAGTGTAATGGGAAGCCATTAATGAGAAGGAAGTAGGGAAGTGATATATTGATATACTACACACTGTTTCTTCTGCCCGGAAGATGCTTCATGTCACTCAGACCCCTTTTCCTATCTTATGCTGACTCCTCTTGACTTCTTGATCAACGTGATCTCTGGAATATTAATATTCTCTGTAGGACTTAGGTACTGTTCCTACATGTTTGCCCCTTCAAAGAACAGTGCTACACTCTTATCTTTGAACATTGACTATACTAACTAAGAAACTTAAGGATGGGACTGCCTAACCTTCTTTGTATCTCCTATGACCTAACAAGTGCCTGACCAATGGTAGATGGTAAGTACTTTATGAAAAGTATGAATAAACTTTTAGATGGGTTGATCCTTACGGCTGTCCTTTTTCTGCACCGTTGGCATGCCAGCCATTATTCAATGTCTCAATTACAAAATAAATTTATTTCTTCAACTCCCTTGTAAAATTAGTGCTAGTAAAAGGTAATTTAGTAAGTACTTAACCTTGAATGACCTAGCTGTCACTTTGAAAACCTTGGCCCCACCTTTTGGTTGTTGGAACATGTATGGAACACAGGGCTGTGCAACTCCAATGCCTTTAACTACTGTCACGCACTGTCATTCTTTCTAAAAAGGATTACAAAGTTTTAATTCTTTTTATGCCTTCTCTTTTTTTTCTAGGCTATCTTTTTCATTAATTTAGCATATTCTATTATTTTGTAAGTTTTAGATTCCTTATTTACTTTTATTTATTTTTCAAGATACTTAAACATGAATTGTTGGTTTTATTCAAAGTTCAAGTATTTGTTTTTTCAAGTATTTTATTTATTTTGGTTTTTAATGTAGTGTTTTTCCACAACCTTTTAGCCAGAACCCTTGTTTGGGATATCTGTAACATTTATGCATGAAGTCTTTGCAAAATATACCTCTTTTGTTGCTTTCTGTTTAAGGTAATAATAATAAAGATTTGTGGATTGCTGACTATGTACCAGACACCCTGACTAACCTACTTTATTTAACCATTATAACTACCCCACATTAGATGCTATTATTGTCCCCATTTTATGGATAAGGAAAATGTGGGAGAGAAAAGTTAAATCTCTTTTTGGAGAGGTTTTATGTTTTTGGTTTTGTTTTTGCTATAGGGCACATGTGCTTGCCAGACAGACAGAGACAGACAGAAAGCGAGAAATCACCCCCCAGGAGGGACGGGCACACCGCAATCCCTTCTCCTCCATTCTCCTCTCAGGATCTTGGGCACGCACGCACACACACCCAGCATGAGTTTAAGCCACCGGGTCTGGGACTCGAACTGCTGTCGACTACGTGGGAGTCCAGCAACATAGCCATTACGCTAACTGCTGGCCCCTGAGAGGTTAAATCTCTTACCCAAGGTTACCACAGCAGTAAATAGCAGCTGGAATTTGACGCCATGAGTTCAAAACCGAAATCTGTGGCCATTGGGATACTAATAAATCCTTTCCATTTCTTTTCATGTAAATTAAATAAATTAAATACACTTTAAATATAGTTTGCCTTAAAATGTAACAGGGGATTTACAAGTTGGTAGGGTATAGAATTTTCTGTAAAAATGTACTGAAAATATACCAGGAAAGTAGACATTGGAAAATGAAAGTAAAATGTTTCTCCTTCACGGTGCATTTACATGGCATTTTGTAGATGTACTAAAAACAGCAATGCCTTTTAGTTGAAATTAAGCTTCTTAAAGCACTTCTATTAGATTATTTTATCTGAACTTTTTCATAAAATAGATGCCGTATTATGTTATCATCCCCCTTTTCAAAGGGAGCTTCTGGGACCCAAAGCAGTTAAGTAATTTATGCATGATGGAGACCCAGTTTGGCAAGGACAGAGGCCTGACCTGAACCCAGGGTGGCAGGGGTTGGGGCCTTGCTGTCCCCTTGGCTTCCCTCCAGCTCTAAGGGGCTGGCTGTACTATCAGTGCCTCTTGGTTACTTGTTTTATGTTATTAATAGGACTTTGTGAAACTCGGAGGTTTCTCACTGAGGTTTTGCTGAATCGTGCTGATATCCGGGCTCTCTGGCTTTCTAACCCATGGTGGTGTTTCTCAGCTGCTATTTTGTGGGGTAAAGGTGTTTTTCAAGACAAAATTTTTAATGACTTTGATGTCTCTTAATATCCATGCCACTCCAGTTTTCTTCCTTTGAAGGAACTGGAACAAGTGCCAATTAACAGGCCATCAGATATCCTTTCAAGTTGTCCCAATGTGAGGAAAGTTTTAGGGGAACTGGTGACATGAACACTCCCCCGTAGTGACTGGCAGTAGCTATCGGCATTGGAGTTGCACAGCCCTGGTGGCCAAACCCAGTCGTACAACGTGCTTGCTCTGTGACCTTGAACAAGCTGCTGAATTTCTCTGATTTGCAGTCATTAATAAAAGTAAGGCTGGGGTCCGTTTAGAAAGGCTGTTGGGAGTAATACAAGAGATATGTCTTGGGCCAGCTGGTGGCATAGAGGTTAATGTGGCAGGTCCCACATAGCCGACTGCACAGTTCAAGTCCAGACCCTGCAGCTTGTATGGAAAAAACATGCCAGGCTTGTGTGTGTATATTCCCAAAATCCTGAGAGAGGAGAATGGAAGAGATAGGATTTCTGTGTGGCCATTGCCCATGAGAGGGTGATTTCTCACTTTTTCTCACTCTCTCTCTCTCTCTCTCTCTCTCTCTCTCTCTCTCTGGCAAGTGTATGCACCTATAGCAAACTGAAAAAAGGAAAAGTAAATGAGATCCATCTAAACAGTGCTAAGCACAGTGCTTGGCACAGAGTGAGAGCCCGAGAAATGTTAGCTGCTGTTATGAAAAATAAGATAAATAAGGGACACTTATTATTCTTATTTTATCATATTACTTCAAGATGCAGTCTAGCATAGCAGTTAGCTCAGGACTTAGGCTACTTGGGTGTGAATCCTGGATCCATGCCTTGGGGCAAATGGCTTCACTTTTTTTTTTAAAGAATTATTTTATCTAACTTTATTTATTTATTTATTTTTTAGAAGAAATTGTGCATGTTGAGAGAGACAGAGAGAGAGAGAGAGAGATGGACTCAATGTCGCAATCCTCCAGCCTCCATAGATTTTTGCCACCATGTGCCACCATGCCCCGAAGTGGCTTCACTTCTTGATGCCTTTGTTTGCTCCTCTGTTAAATAGAGATACGATTGTACTGACTACATAGACTTGTAGGGGTGAAATAAGGTGATAGATACACAGGTAGAGAAGGACCTACCACCATATCAATGAGTGGTGTCACTCATCTGCTGCCAGATCGCACAGAAGATGAGAAAGGGGGTGTTGGGGACTGATTCCCCAACTCTGTCATTTTGAGAAGTCCATCTACACACATTCAGGGCACAATGCACTTTCGTCAACAAGCTCCTTTGGGGACCAGCTCCATGGTGCAGCAACTGAGCGATACACAAAAAAAGTTAACTCTCTCATGGCCAGTCTCAGCTCTGGCAATTTGAAAGACACACTGGGTGCATGTATGCCCAGGATTATGACAGTATGGAGTATTGGAGGAGAGAGGGTTGTGCAGGAGAGGGAATTGCAGGATAGAGACCTGTTGGTTGGAGGTAGCTTTCTCTATCTCTTTCTCTTTCCTTCTGTCTCTCTCTTTCATGCATATGCACACACTTTCTGGCATTAGAGCAGAAAAAAATTAAAGCTTCACTGAGCCTTCGCTATGGCCAGTCAATGGACTGGGGCTGCAAAGAGTGAGGCATAGAGGGCTTCTGTCCAAGAGGGACTTACAGTTTCCCACTTAATCCTACATGGGCACAAATATCCCTTATAATACACGAAAATATGTTACAATCTCCCAAACAGGACAGTTTTTAGTTTTCAAGGGAAATCTTTGTTGTAGTTCCAAAGGGCATGTGTGCTTGCCTGAGAAAGAGAGAAAGAGAAAGAGAGAGAGGAAGAGAGCAAGAGAGAATGCACCCCCAATGTGGTGTGGTCATGCAGCAATCTTTTCCTTTTTATTTCTCCATCCTATCAGGATTTAGGGGTGCACACACACACACACACACACACACACATACACACACACACACATAACTGGCATGTTTTTCAAACTACTGGAAATAAATAACCTTAAAAAAGAGAGAGTAGGCCAGCAGGTGGCAAGGAGGTTAAGGCATCTGGATCCCATGTGGCTGACTGTGCAGCTGACTATGCTGAGATCTGAACCACAGCCGGCCATGTGGAATCTAGAGACCCATGCACTATGCCTAGCCACTGCACTTAAACTCTGTGCCATGGGACCAACCCTCAAGGGAAACCTTTGTAAGCAAGATAAATATCCATTACTTAAAAGAACAGCATCCAATCCGTGTATGTTGCCTTCAGTGGTGAAGGATGTGTGTTCCAAACAGTAAAACTCGATTATCTTCTGGCAGTTGGCAAAGTAGATTATTTTAAGAAAAAAGTTGAACTCAACATTACCAAGTGAAAAATATGAGGTTTTCATTCTAAGTGCCTTGATTCTCTCAGCAGTGGGAGTTTGACTCTCTAGCCACAAGTAGTCTATTTTTCGTGTTTGGGAGTTTAGACTAGAATGAAGAATTGGTTTAAGGGGCC